TACCTACTTATCAAGTTGATGTACCGTGAATATAATTTACTCTTGTTTTAACCAATGTACAACGAAATACTCCGGAAATTTTTAATTAGTAACCCTCCCCCTCACAAAACTAAAGAGGACAGATTGCTTCGAGATCATTACGTACTCTAATGGACTGTGTAAAATCGGCAATCTGAACTTTACCGAAACAACAAAAGCAAGCAGCACGTCATCCGAACCGATTTTGTCAATTACCCGGACAAAAAGAAATCGTCCGTCCTGACATTAGTTGCGCCATGAAGTACGCGCATCGATCAGAGTTGGAATTCATCACACCCATAGAAGGAGATCGCACACGAAAAGCTTCCCATCCCCGGTCAAAAGATTAAGAAAAATGGCTTTTTAACCCGGCCAGTAACCGATCGATGCCGGGCTCTTAGCTTCCTGTCAAATATTGATCAAGCAATATATTTCACCTACCCATCCTTATCGAAAAAAACTTGGGACTTGTTCACTTTGCTACTATTTTCTTACCAAATTTTAGTATTGCTAACTTTTATGAAGGTTGCTAAAATTTTGGTAAGGTTATTAAATTTTGGCAAGATTTCATATGTACTTATAAAAATTTAGTAACAAACTAAATACAACCTTTTTTTTAACTTTGTCAAAAAAAAAGATAAGGTTAAAAATGGTAGCAAAGTGAACAAGCCCTTACTTTTAAGAAAGCATTAGTAATGATGTAATGATGGATTCATAAGTGCGTGGTTTTACCTATCAGATTTAAATCATGATGCTTATAAATATTACGCATATGTTGCTGGACTTGATGCTTATAAATATTACACATATGTTGTTGGACTTTTAATTGAGTTTTAATAAGATAAAAAAATACCGCTGATTTCTATCTCTTAAAACGTGCGTTTGAAATCGCATTTCCGAATGTGCAAATATGTAGTGCGTGTGCGTGTACTGTGTAATAAAGAAAATAAAACGTGTTTTAAAGCGCCCCGCTATAGTGGGAACTGGGAAGACGCCTAACAAATCCACCCTAGTACCCAACGTTCTCACCAAATCAACCTTTTCATTGCAAACACACACTTATCTACCGTTGACAAAAAAATTTTAGATAATGGATCAGCGTTTACATACACGTACGTACAGGTACAGCGCGTGTACGTCTACACATACGTACATGTAAGAAGTTAAGTACCAGTACAACGGCCGGGCTCGCAGCAAAACACGTGTGGTCAACCGAAAAATGTGTCACCGTTTGCCTCTCGCTCGCCGCACATGCTACAAAACTGTGCCATCTTTGCCGGAGTAAACGCTGCCATCGCAACTCGCAAGCTCGCGCGTCCATATCTATCTAGAAATTTAACCGTTTCTCGGTTAACATCGCTCTTCTGCAAAGCAGCAAGGAGATAGTAAATCTCAGACGCTTATTTTTTTAATTTAACTGAAATTTTTGGATCTTTATTACATATTAATAGTTTTCACCGTATATTTTCCTGTGATAAAGAAGCTGATGGACTGATGGGGAGCTGACTAGCTCCTCTGCAGCTTCTCATGATCTGCTATCTCGTCAGTTTCTCCGTTTTTCTCTCGGTTGATCTGATCATCCAATGGGCTTATCTCCCGTCTCGAGTCATCAGCTGAGCAGGAACAGCGTTCCAAGTTGACAACTTGACCCCTCCCCTCGTGGCTCATGCTCCAATACGAGGAAAAGAACGGACGAGTTCGTCGCCGTTGATTACTAGCCGTCTAGCACGTCACCGATGGAACGCACCGATTGACAGCCAAGAAGGGGTCTGTACCTGCTCTGCATTGCACACGCACCCCTGTTACTCTGCTCCAGTTGCAAACTTAGATTACTCGGGAGGCATAGAAAAATACCTATGCGTTGCAGCGGGTGAATGCTATTTTAATTTTATTATTGTTATACGGTTTAGCTAAGATAAAATTCAGTGTGAGAATTCACTTAAATATATTTTTTAGAAAAATTATAAGCTGTAATTAGGAGTCTGACTTTTACCTCAAGTTAGCATGCAAAGTTTTTTAAAAGAGATTTCTTATACGACTCATTTTGTATTTTCAAAAACAAACAAGCTTAATATCCAACTCAAACACGCATCTGTATTTCCAAAAGCGAACGAACTTAAAAACCGACTCAAATACGGATGACGTACCGAAACTTCAGTAAAAACATCTTTATTTTTTATAATGGTAGATATAGAGATACATATATCGTCTACAAAATTAATAAAAAATTTAAACAAATATGATATATCTAACATGCAAGCTCACGCATTCAACTTGACAAATAAATAATAATAATAAATTTGACTATGATTAGCATGTACTATTTACACTTAAAAATATCATTTTTATTTCTATCAGTGCAAGTTCAATTTGAGTGTGTACGTATGTGAAATGATATGTCACGTATTAATTTATCACGTCAACTTTTTTTTAGATCATTTAATAATTTTAATAAACAGATTGATACGCCATTCTCTTGAGGAAGGAATAAACTTTCCTTCGTACTGACACCATGTGTCAGTGTTACGGATTATATATGCATTCTATACTTGGATTCATAGCAATTGAAATACCGTATACCTAGTGTTATAAAAAATGTATATTCAAATATGGAAATATAGCAGATAAGAACAGAATCCTTCCACTGGAACAGGAGATGTCAGAATCCAATATGGTGAAAGCAAGGTCTTATCTACCCATATAATATAAGGGCTCTCCGAGTTCTATTTGAAGAGAAAGTTGCATACCCATATAAATACAATGCCCCTAAAAGAGCGGAAATCATGTTTGGCGATCGATCGCCCTGGGGATGGATCAGCGATCGATCCCTTCCCCCCTCCCTCCCTCCACCCCTCCACCTGGTTTCTTCTTTTGGCACTGCATTACTTTTCTATTTTAGTAAATTTATACACCTAAAGTTTATACACCTAAAGTTTACACATCTAAAGTTTAGAGACCAAAAGTTTATAAGTCAAAAGTTTATATATCCGATTCAAATTTGAATTTGAATTCAAATATTTTTTTATATATAGTATTTCTATACATCTAAAGTTTATAGACCTAAAGTTTATAGATCTAAAGTTTATAAGTCAAAAGTTTATATACCCGTTTCAAATTTGAATTTAAATTCAAATATTTTCTATATATAGTATTTCTATACATCTAAAGTTTATACACCTAAAGTTTATAGATCCAAAGTTTATAAGTTAAAAGTTTACATACCCGATTCAAATTTGAATTTGAATTATATGCGATTCAAATTTGAATTTGAATTATATCCGATTCAAATTTGAATTTGAATTCAAATATTTTATATATATATATATAGTATTTCTATACATCTAAAGTTTATACACCTAAAGTTTATAGACCCAAAGTTTATAAGTCAAAAGTTTACATACCCGATTCAAATTTGAATTTAAATTCAAATTTTTTTTATATATAGTATTTCTACACATAAATTTTTCTAACTTTTGATTTTTAAAAAAATTTGTGTGGTGTACTGTTGTAGAAAGAGAAGAAGGGGAGGAGGAAGGGGGTGAAGAGGGATGAGTATAGGGAGAGGCGGGACAAACCGATCGCGGGGCGATCGCCCATTAGCCTCCCCCCTAAAAGAGGAACATATCGAATTATAAGAGCCACAAGCCACATTGAGAGTTATATAGATAGGAGGCCGGAAGTCAATCACTAACCACCGACCCAGTCGTCGGATTAGTAATTGGCAGATTATAGTGTGTGTGTGTGTGTGTTGGGGGTTTAAATTAGTTAATTTGTTCCCATATTGTAATCAATGTGATACATCTCGGAGCTAAACATATAAACTCGATGAGGGTTATTACCCACCTTGGATGAATTTAGTCAGCACGAACTGGTTATTACTCATCCTTATGGTCCGAACTAGTATAAAATCCTTGTCCCCTTTTTTTTACTGCAATCTCGCATACACTTTAGTACCAAAGATCCCCATACTCCACAAATACCATTATCGAGTATAGCTCTTCGACAACTCCCCCATTATAATCAGTGTGATAAATCTCAGAGTTATAATATAAACTGGATTAGGGCTATTACCATCTTAGGGGGGGCTGAACGCCTGAACCATCCTTTTAGGGTCTGAACTAATATAAAATCCCTGTCCCCTGTTTTTTTACTGCAATCTCGCGTACACGTTAGTACCAAAGATCCCCATACTCCACAAATACCATTTTCAGGTATAGCCATTCGACAACTCCCCCATTATAATCAGTGTGATAAATCTTAGAGCTATAATATAAACTAGATTAGAGCCCATTATAATCAGTGTGATAAATCTTAGAGCTATAATATAAACTGGATTAGGGCTATTACCCATCTTTGGGGGCTGAACGCCTGAACCAGTATAAATATTCATGTTGTCTCTTTTTGACTGGGACGGCAAATCCTTGAGATTGACGAAGTCACCACATGCGCCTCGCTGTCGACGGGTACGTCGCCTGGAAAATTCGCTCCCATGTGGAGTCGAATCTAGGACCTCAGGTGCTATTAAGACTCTTGTAACCACTAGGCTACATACTCATCTACTTTACCACAATCTTGTGTATACCTTAGTATCAGTCTCCCCACCATACCATACAAATATCATTGTTGGGTATAACAAGTCGACACCATGGTGCAGATTGTTATAACAAGCCTCATCTTTCGAATGTACACATAGAGATAGTATACGTGTATGTTTATAGGAGTAAATTAATATACGCGCGTTGTGAGCTTCTTCATTTTTACGCTTCTTAAAGAAAAGATAGCACCAGTATAAAATAGCCTCCATTTCAGATCCGTACTGAAAAGCACAAGACGCGATAAAAAAAAGTTTTACTACAACTAGTTGCGTCTACATGTACGGACCAGTCGCCTAGTAGTTAGCAGTAGCAGGTTAGATTTGAAGCGTTCCAAGGTGATTACGCCACCTTCTCGCCTTCCTCGTGTATATATAGCACGAGTGCGCAGGAGGCACAGTTCATCATCCTCTAACCCCATCCAGCTCGAGAAGAACAAGACGAACACGCTCTCTTCCAAAGCTGAAAGCATGGGTTCGACTCGCCTCCTCGTACTGCTCGCCGCCGCTTCCCTCCTCCTCGCCACCGCCGTCCCGGCAGCCAGAGCACAGGAAGAAACTGGTAAATCAACTAGTTGCTCGACCATTCTGAGTGATATATTGGTTTGTGACTTGTGAGTCTCTGATGGAGTTCTTTTGATTTGGTTGGCTTGGTTTGTGGTAGATCACGAGGAGGAGTTCACGTACATCAGCGGGGACGAGAAGGGGCCGGAGCACTGGGGCAAGCTGAAGCCGGAGTGGGCGCAGTGCGGCGCCGGCGAGATGCAGTCGCCGATCGACCTCTCCCACGAGCGGGTCAAGCTGGTGCGCGACCTCGGCTACCTCGACGACTCCTACCGCGCCGCCGAGGCCTCCATCGTCAACCGCGGCCACGACATCATGGTCAGGTTCGACGGCGACGCCGGCAGCGTCGTCATCAACGGCACCGCCTACTACCTCCGCCAGCTCCACTGGCACTCCCCCACCGAGCACAGCGTCGACGGCCGCAGGTGCGTCGCCTCGCCGACGAACGCGTGTGATTACACCCTTCTTAATTAGCGTTGACATCGCCGAGTCTTAAATGCTCGATCGATCGATCCGTACCACGCCGCTGACATCGTTCTCCGGGGTGCGTGCAGGTACGACATGGAGCTGCACATGGTCCACGAGAGCGCCGAGAAGAAGGCCGCCGTGATCGGCCTCCTCTACGAGGTCGGCCGCCCCGACCGCTTCCTCCAAAAGGTCCATATAATTACTCCTCTTAGATCTCCATGGCAACCCGCAGCACGAAAACACGATTACGCTCGACTCGTGCTGCGAGTTGCCACAAGCTATCATTGGAAATCAAATAATAACTATTAGAGACATTGAATTATTTGCCACTTTTAAGATGTGTCAATTAAAAATTTATCACTCGTTATCTATGACATGTGGACTAAGAGTGGCAAATATTTAATTATTCCTAATTATTAACGAATCTGATATGATCTTTGCAGATGGAGCCATATCTCAAGATGATTGCGGACAAGGAGGACAGGGAGGAGAAGGTGGGCATGATTGATCCGAGGGGTGCAAGGGGTAGGGCCAGCGTGTACTACCGCTACATGGGGTCGCTCACCACGCCGCCTTGCACGCAGGGGGTGGTCTGGACGATTGTCAAGAGGGTAGGTTTGACTAAACATGAAATTTATTGGACATCAGGAATCCTTTTTCCCCCTTCTTCTCTGTGAAGTTTAAATGATTTTGATCATGACCGAATTGATAAACAAAAGCAAGAGATAAAGACATTCTTGCCTTCTTGGTGGGGTGGCTTTGCTGTCGGTTGGGTTTGGTGGACTGCATGTCGTGTCATGTTCCTGATCTAATTCCAGTTTCTTTCTTTCTTGATGTAGTAGTATACTTTTCCTTGTTTTGAACTAAAGTAATTAAGGTGGTGATTCCTTGCTGAAAACCAACAGTTTTTCTAAATTTTGATGTGTTCTTTTGCTTCCTTTTTGCAGGTTCGCACCGTGTCGAGGTATCAGCTCGACCTTCTCAGGGAAGCTGTGCATGATGTAAGCTTTAACTTGTTATGGTCGAATTTAATTTCTGGAGTTTAATTTCCATCTGAAAAGCATGCGAATTTTATGATTTTGACGTGAAGAACCCCAAACCATTGTCAATAATCTTGATCCGTTTAGTATGTACTCATGGATGTATTGAAACCATATATGAAAACGACTGCATTAGAGTCTTTAGGCTGGTGCTGTTGTCTGACTAAGAGAGCAAGAGTACGAGTAGACTTGCAAACAGCAGACCTATGGAAAATAAATACAAGAAGACTGTTGAAATTTCAACATGTGTAAATGCTGAAGAAATATACATAAGATCAACTTTTTGGTTGATTTTTGAAAACTTTTGAGCTGAAGATTCAAGTATTTGCCTACTTTGCAGGAAATGGAGAACAACGCGAGGCCCCTTCAGGCGGTGAACAACAGAGACATCTCCATTTTCCGGCCTTACCCTCATAAACGCTATTAATTAGCGGCGGATTTGTCGTCTGATGTGGATTGGTAGCCTAAAATAAATATACACATGCAGATAGGATCACACGTAGGGCTCATTTTGCCGTTCGTTCGATCCTTCTATCACCCCTCCTTTTCTTTTGAGAGGACTGATCTCTCACATTTCGATATATAGCTGAGATTTTTGTAATTCTTTCCATTACTGTTCCTGGTTGATTGGATTGGAATAAAACACTGTTCATTAATTTCATGCCATGTGTGTAGCATGTGTGTTGATGTGGAGAGATTTGATTATTGTGGCGTACTAACCGGGGACACAAACTAAGACCCTTCCAGCTGTGCTGTTTGTCTTCTTTGTATAAACGAAGAAAAGGTTGATGATATGCTTATACTGTTTACATGTAACAACAAGGAAGTCGTTAGCTCAGTTTGATATATTAATCCATCATTCTGTTGATAAGACTATTCAATTGTGGCATTAGTTGCCTTCTTCCAAGAAACGGGAAGTAACCATTGATTTCTGCTGGGGAATGCTATTGTGCGGGATATCGATCGTCACCAAACGTATCATACAATGTGAGTATCAGATCATGATATTCACACAAACCTTATTTAATTTCTCATTGGTAATAGGCTGATATGTAATCGGTATCAAGTTGATACCTATGGGTACCATCAAATCGATATAGAACACTAGTCTAATAATTTTCACCAGGCATGACGAACAGACACCGGCCGAATTTATTAAGATTTTAGGAAGAAACAGATTACAACATTGGCAACGAAGTTACCAACAACACTATATATGGCCAAGCACAACACCCATCTAGCACATGTGCTCACGCGCTCCTAGCTACTCAGTTGATTAACATTAGCTGTGTGCTATCATCATAAAAAATGCCGACCTCTAGCCAAACTTTCCATTCTGGAGCAATGTCCCCTGTCACTTGTGCAAAAGTTGCCGTCTTGCCTTGGGAAAATTCTGGTGTTCCACTCCTTACACAACATCCAAACTAGCGAGATGATATTGGCATCGAAAGAACGGCAATCGGCCTTGCACATATTAGAGTAAGTTTAATAGTGTCGTCGACTGCTTACTCCAAAAATACTCCACATAAGCAAAACGGCATAATAAAACTGATAAGTGCAATAGCTGGCTGCTAGTGCTATCTCTGCACAAGTAACGAGCTACACCATCGTTCAGCTCGTCGTCGTCCCATTGGTCAACACAACTCAGGGTCCCCACGAGCCAGTCTTGGACACCTTAACTTGCGTTGGGGTTTGCGCTGCAGCCGGCGATAAATCAAGCGCCCGCTTTTCTCTTTCCTTGCATTCTCTCTCTTCCAACTCAACACAAATATATTTCTTAACTCTTATAGCCTGCTAAGGTAAGACTATTGTACCTGCTCTTATTGCGGGATGAGCTCCAACAAAGCTAGAAGTCCGAGACGCCGCTTAGAGCAGATACAATAGCAGGCTATAAGCCAGCTGCAAACATATTTTAAGGAGATAAATAAGGAGAGAGAGAAGAGCAGCGGGCTACAGATTTATAGCCAGCTGTAGTACGGACTCCAAGACGTAGTGTGTGTATGACAGGTGGGACCATGTATTAATAGTGTAGTATGTAACTATTGTATGGATGAGCTATTAGATTGGCTATAAATGAATTGGAGCTAGTAGCTGGCTATACTATTAAACTTACTCTTAGATCGAATATTACGCCAGTTTCGAGGCAAACTATGTTCCATACCGCATAGGAGAAGTCACAACCCGATACCAAATGGTTGCGGGTCTCCAGCTCCTACCCATAAACCACACAGGCGGGCTGATGAGGCCAATTCCTCTTCAACTCTCTGGCCTAATAATTATGGGGTACTAGGCCTGCTACATATAAATCCATCCTTTAGCATTGTTTTCTGTTCTCTGGCCTCGACTGATCGACTCTATTCCTTCTCGATCCAAGGCCTCGTTATTGTTGCGATCTCTCGTTTCGCTTGACTTTACCGACAATCCGCACACGCTTCTCGCTGTTGTTCATATGGGGTATACTTCCATCTTAAGGGACAAAAATCCCCAATGACATCGCGCTCGCCGAGCTATCCATCATCGACGCAGCCTCGCACCACGCACGTTCGAACCAACAGGTTCGTAACTCATTTCTCCCGCGCGAAAAATGAGGTAACTCATTAGCGCATAATTAATTAATTAAACATTAGCTAAAAACTTGAAAAATGAGAACTTTTCTATAAGATGTTTTTTGTAAAATATAAAACCTTTAACATTTGACAAGCATGAACAACGAGGGACCGAGGGAGTACTCCACTCCATTAATTAATTTCACGCAATAACACCATCTTTGATTCTTTGTCAGGTTGATTGTCCCTTGTTGCAACTGCGCCCCATGTCCGCGTCAATTTGGAAGCTAATGCATTTTTTTCACGAATGGCCACATCAATTTAGTAGGATACAGGTTAACTCGGTCACACGCACTGTTGCAGTCTTAGGCACTCCACAGAACCAAGCACAATAATGTACATATAGGACAATCTCCAGTAGCTGTCCCCGAAAATGAATCATCAGACCTTTGAATCAGCATATGCCATAGACCTTTAAGTTTCAGTTTCGTGGGAAAAAATACAAGGTGGAATCCAATGTGATCCAGGTCACTATTCATATCAACAGTTACCTTTCCTGTCTTTAAAAATTAAGTGATCAGCAAAGTGACACACCGTCCTCAACTTTTTCGTTAACCTTGGGGTAGCAGATAATGGATGGTGTGCTTCCGAGAACAGCATGTGTGAACTGTTTTTTTCTGAATAAACGGTTGCGAATTACGTTTCCTGATGAAGCCGTGACGCGTGAGTAGTTCTCCTGCAAATTTCTTGCGGTTGGTGAGGAGATGAAAAAAAACACCTAGCTTTTTAACGACCTGCCTAAACATACTCGGTTACTTGCACGGCGTTCAAATTACTCGCCTGTACTTTTTACGCAATCCGAAGTCGTCACGGTTTGAAAGGTTAAAAAGGAGTTCGTTGAAACCGGTTGGGTGATTGCATCACCAAGAGGAAAATGGAAGACACTGGTAAAACGGTCAGACTCGTCGTTGTAGACCACCATGACGACTTGCCTTTGTTCTTGTTTGTTTGCAGAACATTGGACTGGTGCTAATGTCCTGTAGTTGGCTGCAGAGCGGAGCAGAGCCAACACATCGGGACTGAGATCAGGTCAAGGGTCTCTGGGAGACGCCGAGATGGACATATGGTCGAGGAGACCAAACAAAAAAAAAAGAAAATGGAAAATATCTGACCATATCCGGGAAACATCTGATCTGACCATCGCCGGCTCATATTGGTTTTTTAGGCTATGTTAAAGGCAGTCGCGGAGCATGAATTTAAGGCTGGTTTGTATTTAAGTGAGGTCATTTCTGTAAATTATTTTAGATTTATATATAAAAAATGAGATTTATAGGATGTTTTTTCAAAAAGCAGAAAATGCCTAAATCCGCCATTGGTTAAAGGGTGTTTAGTGTAAAACTTTTCGTGCGATAGCTTACATGTAAGGTTTATTAAAAAATAACTTATGAGTAATTTTTATATATATGTGACAAATGCTGTAAAAATAAACCACAATAAATAAATCATAAAATCATCTCTAAAATTAAAATTTTAAATTGAGTAAATTACACCCACAGTACAACAACTTGGCGGGTGGGTGCGATATAGTGCAAGAACTCGAGAATTAAACGTTCAAGTACAACAACTTGATAAGTGCGTGCGTTTTAGTACAAGAATAGCTAAGCATATGCTAGGTGAGTTTTTCTCACGATGTCAATATGCCATTACATAGCAATCCTATGGATATTATCTTATAATATTTAATTTAATCTTTAAAAATTATACTGCACATCCAATTTCCTTCAAGAATTTTTGTTTTCTTTATATACAAATCCACGCTAGTATATTTTCAAAATAAGTACTTCAAAATTAAATACGTATAAAAAAGTACTCCAAATAATTAAGACTTCTTAATTTATTGTATCAAAATCGTACATATCTTACAAGTTGTTACATTTATGCGATCACTTATAAAATTCTTGTACTAAATTGTACGTACATGCCAAGTTGTTATACTAGAACGCTCATTTCTCAAGTTATTACACCAAATTGCATCCACCTGCCAAGTTGATACACCATAGGTGCAATTTACTCTTTTAAATTTTAGCTTATAGCATAAGCGAAAAGATGAGGCTCTTTATACAAATTTTTTAGATAATGGAAATGGATTACATCTCCGGCTTCTGTCATAAGACACACAGCCATAAGTTACTTTAAAAATATTCTTTAAAAAAGTCAATAAATATTTTTAAAAATTTATGACAACTAATGCTTAATTAGTTATACACAAATGACATGTCTCATTTCGTGCGCCAGAACGAGCTCACCAACCCCAGCCGTTTTGAACAATGCCTTAGGTACTTTAAGACTTCCATTGTTTTCTTGCTGACTTATCAGCCGTAGGTAAAACTCAAATATTAAAAACTTGACTTTTTAACCTGGGCTTTTAAATCACGAATAATACAAGTACCAAAGTTTTGTCTATATATTATTATTTTTGCTTGTTCAATTCTTTTTCTGACCGATGAAAGTTGTGATCCGCGTGGCCTGAAAGACTGAAACACCTGGACCGGCCGCGCGCCTGGGTTGTTGACGGCATATGCATGACATTCACCGGCGGTATTGATCGTCTCATCTGCTGCTCATAGGTTGTCGGCGACTTATCTGTGTCCAAACTTAAGTCATAAGAGATCTCGAGAGTCGTAGGCTGGAGCAGATGGGATCATGGGAACAGCCCATGACTCTAGATGAATCAGGTCCAACTTGAGAAAGTAGATAATTCCTTCAGAGATCTAGAGGAAAACAGCCCCTGGACCGGCCGGTTTCCAAATTTTCATCCAAGTAAATTGCCACCAATGTTGTTATATCAACGAAAAAGAACACCACGCGGCCATTGCGCTCAAACAGATCAGCTCCCGGATTTTTCCAAAGACTAACATGGAAGCACCATCACTTCAGCTCCATGAACGCCAATGACGGAGCCACCGCCCGGCTAACCTGGGTAGCCACCCGGCCTCACCAGCGAAAACTACATTAAGATTTTAATATTGATGAGTAAATTAATGATGAAATTTTTATAGTAAATACTAGTTATATTAAAGTTTGTTTGGCTCGAAAGTTTTTATGGCTCAGTCAC